GCGAGTCCGCGCGCACTCGCGTCCAACCCGATAATCCGTGCAAGCGCGAATACGCGAATCGGCGTGTCTTCGCCGCGGAGAGAAAGTGCGAAATTTTCGCACCGAGCGAATCGATCGGACATGGAGAAAGAGAGAGAGAGAGAGAGAGAGAGCGAGAGAAAGAGAGAGAGAGAGAAAGTAAAAGTACGCGACATCGACGGAGAGGCGACGGACAAAGTCGTTCCCTCGCTCGCGAGAAGAGTCGCGTCGCTGATTCGCAAAATCGTGGGATTATCACGAGTGCCACGGATAACGTAAGCCGAACGCAATACAGACCGGTCGGGTATATCGACGAAAGAGCGGAAGAAAGAAGCCGTATCGATCGCGTCTCGAAACGAATTTTTCTAAATATACCGTCGAGTTTTCGCAGTCCGTGGAGACGCCGCAAAATTAAAGAAGGAGGCGAGATCGAAACGCGTCGGAGCAGCGTGGACGAACGAGTCGGTCGGAAAACAAGTCGGTTCGGTTATCGCGTATCGAGTGCCGTTTCGCGTCAGTTACAAACCGTTCTGCCTTTCGATCGACCGTTTCGTCATCGCCGACGCCGATCCATCGAAAATTCGTTCGGACGACTCGTTGCTCGGAGAAAGCGGTCTCCCGCTGGTAATTACGAGTTTGATGGACGCGATGGCGCCTCGTACTTCCTCTCGCGCACGACGCTAAGGATAACGACCGCGGATGCGATTTATTCGTCGCAGACGGGAGATCGCGGTAGTTGGGACGATACGAGGAATTCCGTCTGGACGGACCGTCGGAGCGGAGTCGAACGGCCGCGGCCAGGAAAAATCGATTCCTCGTACGCGTGGTTCCGAGCGAATTCGTGCGAGACGAGCTCTCGTTTCGAAAACGTAAAGGTAACGGATGGTGGACGGAGGGACGCGGTCTCTGGCGCGGCGAGGGGAAATGCAAGGTATAACGGGGCGCGAGCACCGATTATCATAACAAGGCTCGTATTTGGAGACAAGATGCCTCGCGACCCTATCGGCCGTACGCATCGGCTCGACGCGACACGCATTTAATCGTCGTACGTGCCTTCTGGCTGCTACTTACAAAACGGTACACCTATAAGCGTACCGTTTAGCATCTATATTGTCATGTTAACGACTCGAATGCCGATCCCATTAGGGCGTTCGCGTTACCTGTTACGCGGAGAATCTTTGGGACCGGCGAAACCTCTCTTACCCCTCTCGGCGACACCTTCCCTTCGTTCTTTCCTTTCGTTCTTTGTACCGTACGCGCCAGAGTTTCGATTTTCGCCCGAACAGACGTTGCGAGTACGCGTGTAGAGTGCGCGTAGAGATAGAGGATCNGAGATAGAGGATCGCGTCGCGAGCACGTGGATACGCACGCATCGGAAGAGAAGGATCGTAAGAAGAGAAGCCGCGAACCCTCTCAGACGGATTATAACACGCGGAAAGTTCACGACCTTTTGTCTGGCGTTACCCTCTGGCGATGGGCGAACACCGGGGGTAATCCTCTAACCGGGCCGTTATGCCGTTGTTGACATTTAGCCCCCGCGGCCGCTCTCGAAACCGGTCCGTGGTGTTACGTGCACGCCGCGCCGCACCGACAGACCGAGAAACCCACGACGGATCCGGACAAGGACCGACGACCGCAGCCTCGAGAGCAACGGAGACCGCTCGAGCCGTCGCGCCTATTCTTTCGTCGCTCGGGTACGCTGCCGTCCGCTAGAAAAAACGGACAACGACACGGCCCGACAAAGAAGGGCGGGAAACAGGAGCAACGGGAACGAAAACCGGGAACAGGAAGAGGAGGTGCGCTACGGCGGGCGAAAAAAACTTGACCTTGGCTGTACCTGTCTCGTGCGTACGGAGCAAAGGAAAGAGACGAGAGAAAAGAGCGGAATAGCGGGGAAAGTAAGACGCGCGACGTTTCGGCCAAAGGTACCTCGAGACCGGCCGTCGAAGACGAAAGATCGTCCATCGAGCGAACCACCGTTTCCCGTCTTCTATCGCTTCGCTTTGCGAAGGGCGTTCGTTGACCTTTTTGCTGGTCGCGTGGTTCGCACGCCCGTACCGTCGAGTTTTCGTGGCCGATACCGGCTCCGTCTCGCCGACCTTTTCCCGACGTCGTTTCCGCGCCGGCGACCGGAACGTCGCCTCGGAAAAATACCCGACGAAACGAAAATCGCTCGCACTCTCGCTTCTCCGGCTATCGAGATCCAGGGGAAACGCGGGGAAAAAAAGGAATTGACCCTGGCGAGGTAACCGACGAAACGGTCGACCGGTTATCGGTGGAGAGTGAGCGGTCGAGAGAGCAATGCCATGCCGTGCAACTCTACGCCTCCTTCCACCATCGATAAATTCACTGGCTACTGTAAACAATGCGGCAACAATGTCAATTATGCGGACGCCGATCGCGCGGTACCCGCGGTAATTAATCGAATACGAACAGCCCGCGACTTTACACCGTAATTAATTGCCGCGTTGGCCGGTCTGCTCGTATGTCTCGCCGCTCCACGCCACGCCACACCACACCACACCGNNNACCACACCACACCGTGGCATGGCACACACCGTGCCACGCTACACCCCGTCGACCGCGACCGAACGCGTTTCTCCCTTTCCACGTGCCGTTTCGGTCGATCCTCCGATTCGGCGAGAGAAATTTCGAGACCAGAGAGAGAGAGAGAGAGAAAGAGAAAGAGAGAGAGAGAGAGAGATTGGATTCTCGAGGAAGCGGACGCGATATTCCGAATCGATACTCTTTCGCTCGTGTTCCGGTGGTTGTCGTCGAAACGCTGCCGAAGAATTCTCGGTAGCGGAGGTAGGGAAACGCGAAGCGGAGCGGTAGACGTGTCCCGGTACACGGCTTACGGCGTGGCGGCGTGGCGGTGCGAGGCGGTAGGTTCGCGATCGCGTGGGCGCGTAATATATTCTTGGGGATAGACAATGTGCCGAGCACGTGGGCTATAGAAGCCAAGTCGACCGGACCCGGGGCCCCATAATGAAGCGTTGACGCGAGCATAAAAC